GCTTATGCAAATGAAGCCCGGGAAATTCAAATCCCGGGCTTCATTTGCAAGTGCGGTATGCCTACATTACCCCGCTAATTCGAACTAGGAGGGTAGTGTAGACATACCCTCTCTGAAAAAATGTAAAAAAAACAATGAATGCTGTTTTTTAAGTGCTGCAGGACCATTTGTTGTTTTTTGTTTGTTTGTTTGAATTGTTAGTCTTGAGATGAACAACTGTACAAACCTGTTGTTAAAAAGCAGTATTTGGCTGTGAAAGAGACTTAAAATTTACTGTATGTACTGTAGTTGTAACTGTGTTGGACCCAGGATGTTAGACACACAAAACTGGTGAGTTAGTATTTTTCCTAGACCTACTTCTGTTGGCGAGAGACAAGCTTTTGCGTTTCACAGAACTCTTCTTCAGGTCTGGAAAAGGTACTCTGAGCAGAATGCCAGGTGGAACAGATTGTTTCACATAAGTAGTGAGCACATATTCAAAGCAACCATTCCAGATACGGTAGGCTGTTAAAATCTCTGCAATCAAAGGACAATAAAGAGAGGGCTGGTGGGTTACAGACTGTCGTAATAAGCCATAACAATCTGTTACCCTTTAACCTCCTCTTGTGCATATTATTGTGACTGCTTTAAACCACTTGAAACAATTTTAAAATATGGAATAGCAGGATAAATTGTGCTATTTTTATGCTAATTGGTAACTAGAGGAAAACAGCCAGAGATCTCTAAGGGTACATCTAAACTGTGGAGCTATTTCGGGATACTGGAGGTATCCCGAAATAGCTATTCCATGTCTTTTACACACGCCTGTTATTTCAAAATAGATTTCAAAATAATGGGCGCGCTATTCCGGCATCCCTGTAACCTTCATTCCACGAGGGTTAAGGAATGTCTCGAAATAGAGCATTATTTCGAAATACATTTGAAATAAACTACGCAAATTGCGTAGCTTATTCCAAGATAAGGGTGCTGTCTAGATGCACCCGTAACTTCTGGTTTTAGTACGTCACTAAAACAATTCTTTCTTTTCACCTTTAAAATAATACTTTTTTTTTCAATTGTGAATGATGTTAGGTTTTCCAAAAATGGTTAGTATTGTCTTTGCATGGGAAATGGAGTTAAAAGAATTGTTTATTGTTCTGGACTTTCGTCACTTGTTTGAAAAGTTGTCTCCGACCTGGCAGTTGTCTAGAAGATGGGCATCTACTTCAAAGACCCAACCTCAAAAGCAGGTAACTAAAACAACTGGACTATAATAAAGGATTCTAAACCAGAAGGGAAAAGGTACAAGCCTCATTTATACTAAAGTTTTGTACTTGGGGAGCATAAAGGATTCTTTGAACAGGTCTATAATAGAAGTACTACATAAGTACAGGTGCATCATTGCAGCTGTGCTGCTGTATCACATTTGGCGAAGACATTCTATGCCAATGGGAGAATGCTCTTCTGTTGGCATAATTATTTCACCTTCACAAGAGGTGGAAGCTATGTCAGAGGCAGAGCATCTCCTGATGACACAGCACCAATGTGAACAGCACTTCAGTCACTGTAACTTGTATCATCTGGAGATGTTTTTTTCATATCCTTAATTTAAGTGGTAGTGTAGACCTGATCTTTGATATCAATTTGAAAATTCTGAAAGATAAGAGTAAAAAAAGTTATAATGTACCTCTTCTGCCAGGTATTGTCAGCATCAAGAAGGCCCAGGTTCATATTCGCTGTTCCTTTTAAACACTAACAAACTCTACCAGCTTAAGACCCCATCCTGAATTTTTGAGATCGCTGAATATTTTTCTGAGTACTCTTAGTAAGTAATATGACATATTTTGCTCACAAGCCCTGAGTCTATGTATGGAACAATGAAAATTTTAATGGGGAAAGGGAATTCTATTCCATTGGTTCTTATACAGTGGTTAGATATTTGGTTTGTTAGTGATATTTTTTGTTTTGTTTTCTGTTATATAAATATACTTGCTCCTTTGTGTTTCTATTAGAGAAGGCAAGACCAAGGAAACATGCCTTAGGCTTAGAGCAGAAAGTGATGAAGTTTGCTATGGCCTTGGTTCATGGAAGAGGTCATTCCATTCGTTCTTTGACTGTCTCCAGAGAAAGTTCTATCTCCTGCACATACAAACTTTACATTTATTGTTGATATTTGCTGTGTGAGAGGAGCATAGTTCTTTACCTGGAACTTTGTACTTGAGATTTAAATAACCTGTTCTGGGCCCAGTGTGTTCAACATTTCTTTTTTGCTGGATCTCAGTCTTCACTTAATGATGGGTTGCTTTTGGAACTATTTGGACACACATAGATCAGTTCTGGGGTTACTGAACTAAATAGCTTTGAACAGGGTGTATTTTGTAGATCATATAAGGATCAAGTCAAGTTTGATGACTTTTCCACATGGAAAAGTACATACCACGTGGAAAAGTTCATAAGAAATTCCAATTTGTATTATCTGTTGTAATATTTGATGTGTATGCTTTAAAATATGATGTCTTTATAATCAGTACAAAAAAGAGCCTAGAAATGCTCAGAGTTCAATCTTAACTCTGTACTTCCTAACCATTGAGTACATGGTTTCTCAACCATAATATTAATATTACTCTCTCTTTTGCTCTCTTTATACTAATATTATCAATACATCACTTTTAATAGTATAAATACAAACACTTTTGGATGAAATTCACTACATAAATATCAAGAAACCTGATTATCATAACATATTTTATATTTTTCCACGGATCTTTTGGTGGTTGCTAGTCATCGGTTAACTGCTACACTGATTTTTTTTTCAATAAACATAAACTTTGAAATTAAAATATTTCTGTAGCATTACGGCTGTTTCTTATAAAAGCATTAGCAAAATAGGTTGTCTGTTTTTCTCATGCCCAGCAGGGAACAGATATTTCTATCTCTCTTTTTGGGTTATCAGCAAGGATTCACTGGTGAAATTTCAAAGGCCAAAGTTACAGATCATAATAAACAATCTTCTGATGTATTTATTAAAAGGAAGGAGAATGGAAAGAGT